TCTTTTCGCTCTAACGATTTTTATTTTCATTGCAATAAACATAAATTTCAGCTTTGGATTTGTTTGGCATTCAGTTTAGAAACAAAAGAGGAGCAAAATCAATTTTCAATCTGCATGCACAACAATTTTATCGTATTTAAGTTGCAGTTTTGCCAGTTTCGTCCAATTGGCTCATACAAATTGCATTCAGCTTAGGCAAACCGTTGGCAAATTTAATTATTAGAAAACAAACTCTATATGTTTTAATTTCATATTTCTACCTTTCTCCCTCTACCTCTCTGCTTTGTTTTGCTTAGCCGTTATTGAACTGTTGCTATTGTATGAATTTATGTTCTATTTGGTTTGAGTTTTAGCCAAAAGCCGCCGGCATTGGCACAAAGCAAATCGCAAAAATTAATAATTAAACCATTTGGCGAAACTATGTAAACGAAAAATAAAATGCAATGTAAGCAATACAATGCCAGTCACAGAATGTGAGCGAGCGCTTAAAGTGATTTATAAATATGCAAATTATGTGCGCAATTAACAAGAGCCAAACATTAAAAATTATTGTAAATTTTATAAATTAAATTGCCAACCAAATGCCATTACAAAATATATATAAATATATATATTCAACATGGCAAAATTGTTTTTGATTCATTCCAAATTAAAATCAAGCATAAATTCTATAGACAGCATATGATAACAAATATTTATTTTATATTTATATATATATATTTTTTTGTCAAAATTAGTTAACTTTGAATTCGAATTGAGTTAAGTATGGAAAAGGTATTTCGTCTACGGCTACAGCCTGTCCCACGGCTACGTCTGTTCCCAGAACACGAAAAATAATTAAAGCTTTCATGAAAAAATCAACACCTTAACAGCCGATAACATTTACCTAAGACACAAGATTAAATTGAATATTTCCTTTGAAAACAAACAATAAAACAAACTCTCTTTAATGAAAAGCATTTGCAGCGTAACCCAAGTATTTACAGCATTTGCTCAGAGTGTAAAGACAACAAATAAAATAAAGGAAAATAAATTTGAGTACAACTTTGACACGCATATTTCATAACTTTCGGTAAGAGTATATATTTCAACTATATATATACATTTTGTTACCTAGACAATTTATAGTTATGCGAACAATTGCATAAATCTCGCCCTTTCCCTGTCTCTCACTCACGCACACTTAACCTGGCACAAAAAAAAAAGCCAAACTAAAGCAAATCAAAACACATTTTTAGGTCGAAAATTGTCTAAAAATGTGCAATTGGCGCGCTTGGCTGGGCCAGAGCTGGCGGCTTTGGCTATATAAATTTCAATCTATCATTTATTCAAGTCCTAGGCCCTCCGCAAAAGATACAAAAAGAAAACACAAACAACAACAACAAGTGCATAGCCGCGGCCCAACGCGCCGCTTCGCCATAAATCCCCATCAGATACGCGTATATTTATTTACTGCAACTCACACAGATACATTTACACCTACACACACACACTCACACACATAACAACCACAGCAAAGACAACGATGGCGACAAAAATTGTTGCCGAAAAATAAAATGGCTGCTTTATATTTTATTTGATTTTGTTCGCCAATACCCTGTACAGGTGCCTCGGGTGTGAGTATATTGATTTTAAAAATAAATAAAATTATATACAAAAATTAAAAATAAATAAATTCTTGCATGAAATTCATTTCACATAATCTGGAGTTCATAAAAAATGTTACCTGATGTAATAATAAATCACGTCTGTTTTTCATTTAAATTTGTGTCTGAGCTTTTATTCAGCATTATGAGAAGAATGAGAGTTAAGCCAACCCTTTGCTCTCGTTGTGTTTTTGTATAATCTAATAAATAATTCCTTTTGATTAAGAAATTTGGAATAGGAGCACATCAAGTAGTCTGTTAACCTGTTAATTATTAAAAATAAATCTCCTTCTCAGCAGCCATAAGTTTAGCTGCTAATCATAAAATTCCTTCAAACTTATTTTGTGCTATTAAAATAAATAAAACAATAATACTAATTACTTTATTTAATCAATGTTAAGCCGTCGGGCATTAAAAGTAGCCCCCATTTGACAATAAGCATAGGCATATCACAACAAATGTCAAGAGCTGCGTATTTGCTTGGAATCAAAAAATATTCTCTTTGTCGTATGCCCCACTCTGTGTGTTCTACTCAAGGTTCATGCTCCTTATCTAAATCTTAAACCAAATGCGATATATACCCTGTAAACGTAACACGAATGACGATATAACTTCATTAAAGTTGCCTATGGTACATTTTTCAAGCTCAGTCCAAACCATAAATCCTTAATTTGGCATAAAATTATTTTTAGCACCTCTTTATATATTCTCTCTCGTTCAGGATATGCTCTATTCTATCTGCTGCAATGTTGGTTCTTGTCTTAATCTTATAACAAATGCGTTTTTGTTTACTAAAGATTTGGTAAACCCTGTACAAGTAAACCGAGCAAAGATATATCTTCATTATAGACGCGCCAGTAGAACTTTATCTACATTATTCAAGTTCAGCTTAAACGATAAAGCCTTGATTTGGCATATCCTGTAAGTATTTCCCTTTAGTACAGGATATGCTCTATTCTATCTGCTGCAATGTTGACTAGAGCATGCCTACTTGCTTTTTATCCTTTTGGTTAGGCTTGGGCTAATAAAAAGGGATTACTGCCTGCGCCTCTCGTTCGGTTTCCGCCAATTTTATGGACGCTTTTATTTTTGAATATTTTTTACAGATCCTGCTGCTGCTGCTGCTGCTGCCGTTGTTGTGTGTGTGTTGGAGTGTGGATGTGTGGTTCGCAGCCGCTAAAATATTTATGACAAGCGTTACCCATGAACAGCAGCAGCAGCAGCAGCAGCAGCGGCGATTTTTCAATATTTGCAAAACAAAATGATAATAATAATAATAATAGTACAAAAAGTCTGTATGAGTAATTAAAAAAGTTGCCAGAAAACAAAATGAATGCACTCAAAATTGCAGCGGATTGCATTTCGAACTGTTTTCATTAAATTGAACAAGCGAAGGGTAAGGGTTTGCCGAGCTGGCCAAACTCAAATCAATAATGGCTCATATGCAGCAGAGTCTAGACTTGCCCACATTTAAACACACGAAAGTCTGTTCATTGACGACCTACATCAATCATTGTGACAATGAACTGATTAAAACATGAAGAGGATAAGAGGATTATATTCTATATGGCAAGCAGAGGGAAAACTGCATATGGGTTACGCTCTTTTCTAATGGAATGAAAGATACCAGCAAAAAAAAAAAAAAGCAATAGTTTGTTGTATAAATTAACAGTCGATAGAGTGAAATAAAATATATTTCTGCAAAATTATAATTTAAAATTGATTTTAATACTGTGCTCACAATGTGAAGAAGAGTATATTAGTTATTGTTAAATATGCCGTCTTGCTGTTATATTCAAGTCTCTACTTTCGTGGGATAAAGTGTACAGATATTTTAACAGAGATCCAGCGGGAATCAATGTTATTATAGTTTAAAGACAATCAAATTTAGCGGCTAGATTACTGATGATATTTTTCAGACACCAATAATTATTTGCGATTGATTGATTAATATCAAGAAAAATCTTTTAGATATGTTATTTCTTTCTCTTATTGCTCTTTTATACTGTATTAAGCAGTCGTTGATACCCGACAGGGAAGCTCTCACGTTTTAATTTACTTTTCAAAATAACCACAATGTAATTAATCTTATACATTATTATAATAACTGCCATTTAAATATACATTATAATTACTCAAAGCTCAAATTTCACCCAATTTGCAATCCTCCCCATCAGAAATTTCTTAATGGGAATCAAAATTGCGATGTGTAAAACTGTCTTTAACATAATTATCTGCCTCTATAGCTAATTATTTGTCTCTATAATGGTTATATAAAAATTCAGAAATATCTGTTAAGTTCCAATCAAAAACCAAACTTCTTTCCCTCTATTCTACTTCCATTTATAGATAATAAAAAAAGACAAAACGAGAGCTTAATTTTATAAGAAACTCGCACAACTTTTTGCAATTTCCCTTTAATAATAATCTATGCAAAAATCGTAGTTAGCTTTTTTCCGCTTTTACTCTTACATTGTCGAAAAACTTTCGTTTGGCTGGAAAACTTGTGGCGTTCACTTTTGTTCTCAGCTACCAAAAAATAAAAAAAAAAATTTATAAAAATAAAATTGGGTTAGCCAAAAATGATACCGAAAATTGTTCAATTAGTTTTTACGTGCGCTCATCTCTTATTCGCTTTATGCTTTATGCATATTCTTAACAAAAGTTTTTCTTTATTTTCCGCATTGAAAATGTGCAACTTTTAACGTGGGAAAAACTTTTGCATCTATTGTTGCACCTGCGGGAATTTCCCTTACTATACATTTTTTTATTATTCTGCACATTTTTTAAATTTACATTTTTTGGGTTTTTGCCGCAGTTGAACGAGTTTTATATGAAACAAATATGTGCATTTGCCAAAGGGTAGTTTGATTCGATATGCAATATGCAACGCATTTTGGTAGGCAAGTGTTTTTTCCGGATTGTTGAAGTGCTACAAAATCAGAACAGTTCGAATCGCAACTATTTCAAGGACTTTTGAGTTTGGTAGCCTTTCACCTAAGAGGGTATGTTGTATTCGGTGCATATATCTTTTAACTTGACATGCAGAACGGCAGACTGATTGAGGACATTCCATATTGACACATGGATGGGTTATTTATTTATTTCATTTCCTTTTTTTATTTGCTTTGCGCCCAAAACTGAGGCAAGTCTTCTGCCTGGCAAAGTTAAAGCAATAAAGTTGCACACACAGAGAGAGAAAGAGGAAATATATGTAACTCCATAATGGATTGCACTTAACATGCCACACATACAAACACAGACACAGACACAGACACAAAGCAAACCGCAAGTGCAACATGCACATAGCAGCATAGGTAATACATCATTTAAGAGTGTGGGCCGAAAACTCACCTGTGAGGCACCTGACTGCAATGTTGTGATATTTTCTAAGCGAAGCCCTCTTTTTCTTCCCCTTCTTCTTCTTCTGTTGCTGCTGCTGCTGCTTCTTCGTCTACTGCGGCTGCTGTAATCCCAAAAATGCTTCTGTGGGTTTATCTTTCCCGCTTCGACCTCCGCTTCTGTTGTTGCTGCTGTTGTTGTTGTTGTTTCTTTCTAATCCTTTGTTTATGTTTATGGTAATCCACATGAATATCCAACTAGCACCAATACGCACACACGCGCACAAACACTCTGTACGGCACACACGTATACGATTTCTGCAATTGTATTTGCATAGATGGCGAATTTAAATTTCGTCACACATTACGTGGGCGGCATATGATTTGCCTATTTGCCTATTGTCAACTCTCTGTCATAACACACACACATAAACGAGCACAGAAATGCGCGCACTGAATGCCACACACACACAGACCCAGACGCACACCTACAGGCGAGTGCCGCGTAAGCGTAACGGTTAATGTCCGAAATGCTCGTCGCAGTAACGAGATTTTTGGCTGGTATGTGTTTTGATTTAATTTCGAATTGATTTTCGAACTGCACTCGCGCGCTTTGTTGACCAACGGATTTGCATATGAAACCGCAATTATTTAATTTAAACGTTTTATTTTTACTTTATATATTTACATAGTTTGCCCATTGCATTTCAGTACGATTTAGCGATCTCAATGGTATAGCACAGTAACATGTCAATCTATGCTGGAGAGCAGTTTAGTTTTTCGTTATTTTTTGCTGGTTTTGCTTAGCTCGACGAGTTTGCTGTTGTTGAATTAATCGCCGTCCGACGCGTGAACCGCTCGCTTTGAAACTTCGGAAGTAACTGAATTCGCTTTCAGCTGAGCAGCACCTGGTTGGGTCACCTCAGCAGCAGAGCCAAAGAGAATGAGAGAGCGGCAGCGTAAATACAAGAGCGCGCGCAACAAACAGAGAGCAGAGCATAGAAAAAAATCAACTTTTGTTTACAACACTCTAGCCGGCGAGCGGCATCAGTGCAGCAGGAGGGGGTTTGTTTTGCAAAGAGCGCAAGCGTCACAGCTGAGCGTGAGAGAAAATAACTGAGAGTGACGCTGTTAAGCAGCGCTTATCGTTTACATAATTCAATTTCCTTTTACTTAAGCACTTACAGTGGCAATCAAAATACCGAGAGAACTACATATAAATACAGTGAGTAGTTTGAGAGCGGTGTGGATGAAACAATTTTAGCGCTAGCAGAACAACAACTGTTAAATTATGTAGGTGCGTAAAATTGTATATTTTAACAGTGCCCTGTTGTGGGCAACAACAGCAGAGTAGCAGGTGCATTTGCGGCATATCAAAAAAATTGCCAGATGGTTAATTCTTAACAGCAGCTGTTAATTCGTAACAGAGTGCTGCTGGGCTGGCATTTAAAGTTCAAATGCCAGGCACGTATGCTAATTATGACAAAAGAAATACATTTTCCGGTAAAATAATGCAAATGAATGTACATTAAACACCGACAAAATTCAACGACAGAGTAGAATTTATATTTGTTTTTCTTTTTGTAATGTCAATGACTTTGCTGCCTTTGGGTATGGGCAATTAGATAATTATGTATATATTTGGAAGGAGAAATGACAAGAAACTTTCAACTCATATTTTTGATGAATTAAAATGATAAGCTCGCAAGCCTATAAAAATTAAAGTGTTTAATGCAAAAACTCTTAAGTGCAGCATTAAGCCCTTTGTTGGCGAAACACTTAACTCTATTTTTGCTCATGATTGGCCGCATGAGTCCTCGTCAAACCACAAATAAACAAGCACATCCCAAAGGCCATACATCTGCCCAGTCACAGGCACAGGCGGCACATCTCCATAAACTGCAGCCTTTGCTTTTAGCAGTCTGTTAAGGCGCACAAACATGGGGCGCGCGCACCCAACGGCTCATTAACATTTCAAATTCATGGCAGTGTTGAACGTAAAACGACCCATTTGTCTGACATTAACAGCAGCAGCCGCTTTTACATTGCAAACCCGAACGAGCCATTAACATTTAAATTGATGGCAAGCACTTGCAGTGGGACTCAGTTCAGTTGCTCTGCAACAAAAATGTTATGCAAAAGGCTAAATTAAGGAATTTTCTAAAAAAAAAATATAATTAAAAAAATTAATAAATAAAACGAATGAAACACAAAATGTCTAAAAAATTGGTTTCACATAAACTCATAAAAAATTGCTAAGCTCAGTGAAAGATTGTAGACATATCTATTTGAATTTAAGGAAATGCTTCAACTCTATCTATAATAACTGTAGGCTAAGATTTAAGATCAACTAGTCAGAGCTACAGAAAATTATATGTAAAATAATTATTGCGTCCGTGTTGAATATACCCGTTTTCATATAATATTTATATGTATAGGGTATAGGAAGCCTACACATAGAATCAATTAAAAACTGGTATTTAATACCCCAGCAACATAAAACGCATTAAGAATCCTTCACTGTGCATAAGTGCAATAATATGCCTCGACATCAATCTGCAAAACAGATATTCATGTTGAATATGTGGAAGCCTCAGCAATTTCCAGGCAACATTCCGGCGTTAACCACAAACAGCAGCCCAGCGAGGCGACAACTGCATCCAAATCGAAAACCAGTTCCAATTGAACAGGGATGCCAATGCAAAGAGCGGCATGCCAGTTTAAATAACAGCAGTGTGCTGCTGCTAAAGAACCGGTCGCCTCTCACATTATGTCACACTCAGTTGCTGTAGTTAACCAGTTGCGCTCTCTTCCTCAACAATAATGTCGGCATCCCATCACCAGCATCTGCTGCTGTTAACAGTCAGTCACCCGCTGGCAAAGACACTGTACAAAGTTGTTCCATGCACAGTGTGGCCCGAATTCTGTTGACAGACGACCACGGGGCTGTGTTTTCAATGTCATTATTACTGTTGGTGTGTGTATGAGTGGGTGTGTGTATGTGTGTTCGTGTTGGAGCGCCAGAGTGAGCGCTGCCCGCTGAGAGCGTTACATAGTAAAATGCATTTCCATGCTGAGCGCCAAGTTGATTAGAGAGCGCAGAGATTACAATGTAAATTTAACATGAGAGCGCGGTAAGCAGCTTAATGCTCTTCTCTTGCCTTTCGCTCTAGCCGGTCTCTGTATGCTGCTGGTGGGGGGTCCTCGTTGCTGTTGTTGTTTCTGTTGGAAATTGTACATTAATAAATGAGCGTTATATGCTTTGTCCTAGTTGACTTCATGACATTCATTCATTCATGCCAACATCGGACGGTCGCGCACATCGCCCTCTCCAGACGCCACAGTCTCCGCTCCACACAATGTCGGCTCTTTTAGCGTTCGGCTTGTTCAATGGCTTTTTAAATGGTCTGTGCTCTGCCTCGTTTCGTCTCTGTTAGCCAGGCTGTTATCGTCCATGTTGTTGTTGCTGTTTTGGTTAATTGGGTTTTATATTAACTAAATTGTGTATGTTTAACATTATTTATTATTTATTTGCTTGCTGTGTTTATTTATGTGCGTGCACATGCACATTTTATTTTGAATTCGTTTCACATCATTTATCTATGCATTGTTTCACATTGGTTGTTGTTGTTGTTGCATTTTTAGACTGCCCGTAATTTAAGCATTTATATGATTAATTATTTACGTTTTTTTTGCATATTGCGAACACTATTGATTTTGCCATTAGTTGACGGTAAATTTTACATGGATTGTGTGCATTTTTAATTAGCCGACAGCGCTTTTATCGCTGATCCCTAGCATTCCATGGGCTTTAATTGGCTCCATCATTTTGATGATGACAATGTGCATGAAAGCAGCATCCATATAAAATGCTGTCAATCAATCAGAAGACAACAAATTGATAGATTGCAATTTTAAAGAGTTCAGCTCTGACTCTGGCTCTGGCTCTGGGCATCCTGTTCGTTTTCCCTATAGCGACACATATGTATGGTTGTCTGTCCATATATATTTGCATTTTTCTATGAATATGAAAATATAAATATTCATGCCGTCCTCGACAGATGAGTTGTCCAAGTGATCCAGAGATTGGGGCAATTGAACAACAAGGATACCAATTGGAATTCCATTACAGTATGTGGTAAAGTATTGGCCCAGAGGAAGTACATGGTGTTCATTAATATTTGAGTAAAGTTGGGTCAGATGGCAACTATGTAATAGTAATATCAATAACACTAATAATAAAAATAATAACAATAATAATAGTAGTAATAACAATAACACTAATAATAATAACAATAACAATAATAATATTAATAGTAAAAATAATAATAATAATAATAATAATAATAATAATAATAATAATAATAATAATAATAACTAATAATAATAATAATAATAATAATAATAATAATAATTATAATAAAATTGATCATGATATTGATAGTGAAAATAATGATTATAATAATAATAATAATAATAATAAATATAATAATAATAGTGATCATTATAATGACAGTGATAATGATAATTATAATAATAATAAAATAATTAATGCTAACCCCAAGGCTAATGCCATTGCCAATGCCAATGATAATTATAATGATAATTATAATGATAATGATAATGAATATGATAATGATGATTATAATAATTATTAAAGTAAAAATATCACAAATTAGAAATATCTCAAACTGTTGTTCAAAAGAGATATATTAATGCTAAAAGTGGGTTTTTTGCAGCACATATTTTTACATTAATTTCTCCCGAGTTGCAAATGTGTTCTATAATTTGATACGCATTCCAGCAGGTTATTCTCTCCATCCATTCACAATTCCGCTTTAAATATACCTGTAGTTACAACCCATTTGCAGCTACTGTAGCTGGCTGCTGATTGGTGGGTTCTTTGGAACAGGTAGAGCGTTAAGTTTTTGCGTACCTGTAAGTTAAAGAACTTGTTTAATGGACTCGCCCTATGAGTGCGAAAGAAACTTGAACAGGGGCGTGTTCACAGTGACCATGTCTTGAGTGTCGGCAAAGACGATTGTTGCTACCCTCATAAGTAGCAGAAGGTAATTGAACTCATCTTCAATGCTGCGAGTGGCTCTGTGGCACAATAAAGGTTCGCTTATGACTAACGATCTGTCATTTTCTGTCAGATGATGAGTAAATTAACGTCTTAATGAAAAGTATAAGGCTTGTTAGAGATCTTGATTCGAAGAAATGCGGGAGGTTTCGACAACTGTTTAGATTGTTTATTAAGATGAATAGAGTGAGAGAGAGAGCGAGAGGGAAAGAGCGATCTTCCTCTCACTAGATAATTCATACTAGTTAATTTATTCTTATATTTTGGCTGGCTTCTGCCTGAGGCAGATCCCACACTATTTGCAAATCCGTTCTTAAATAACTTCAATGTTTTTTGTGCGATTTTTATGAAATTTTTTGGATATGGCATCCAAGATATGTAAATACCAAAGCCAAAGGCTACAACCTTGATTTTTCTCTGATTGTGGATAGATATTCCAAAAGTGAAATATGCCTTATTTTCATACATACCTAATCTCTATATACTTGTTATGTGTCTTTAGCTAGCTATAGAACCTGGGCTTAAGATCATTCGGAAAGACGAATCAATCCTTTGAATAAACTGATCGCCGTCTAAGAGAATTTAAAATCCCATTTTAATGCATTTCGTTTTAAGAGTTCCTAAAGATAGGCTCATTTAAAGAGAGAAGTATTTGGGAGACTGCAGAGATAAGCAGATACTCGGCTCTTTATGCTGATCCGAAATATATTTACTTAATGGGATTCGAAAAGCCCACCATCAGCCTGTTATATAGATAACTGGCATATACCCTGTATTTA